GAAGGCTTACCTAGATCTTACTATGTATCTGCAAAAATCAGATACCTCAACATACAAATAGAAATAACTAGATAAGAAAAAAAAAAAAGTAAAAAGCTGGAATATGGTTTAAAAAATTATTTTCTTTTTTATTAATTTTTGTACACAAGGACTTGACATTTTCTTTAAAATCTTCCTGTTAGATCCATCTCTATCCTGGGCAGGTTGAGAGAGAGCTGCCCAAAGAGACTGCTACAGAAATACTAATAATGAAATTTTAATTAGAGGAACTAATGTACAAAGCTGTTAAGATTTAGAGCCCCCATCTTTTGATACTCAAACCGCAGCCAGCAGGGAGTACCTGCTCACTAGCCATTCTACAAACTGAGCAGGTACTCCCTGCTGCAGCTGACTGCTGCTATTGCCTCTGGGGTCTTGTTGGGTTTTTGTACCTCTGAAGGCCGGATCAAGCCTCCAGCTCTTAACCTGGAGCTTGACACCAGAGGACATCTTGTGGCATGGTCTGACCTGATGGCCACATCAGCCCTTAAACAGCTGGGACCTGCCTGAAAGCCAAAATCTCTCTCAAGTCAGACTCTACTCCTTCCTAACCCTACATCAAGTAATATTTTCTTGGATAAAGAGTGCCAGACAGGCACTGCCACATGTAAATTTATACAAAAATAGAAAGCATGCCAAAACCATTCCATTCCCTTCCTTGTCATTTGTCCTTACTACCAGTCTCTCCATTCTTCTGTTCCAAACTGTTTGGAGTCACTGTGCAGCATTTAAGCAAACTGCTTTGCCAGTTTCATTACATGGGGTTGAAAAGGATTGCATCAATTTATGTAAGCTATGCACATCCACAGTTGAAACACTGTAATATTTAAAAGTATTTCTGATCCTGTCATAAATCTAAGGCTCTGTGCAAAGTCATCTTTTGTATAAAACACTAACATAATAGTTACTTGTGAAAATAACTGGTATTAGACCTTATGTAATCCTCTGAAATACATATTTCCTTCTTTTATGTCTATTACCAAACACCTTACTTTGGGGAAATTATTTGCAGATGTTAAAACAAGAAGAGGGTGGGGGGAAGTACACCTGCTACACAACAGTGTGACAAATCAATGAAACCACGGAGTCACAAAATGCCATTTAAATGCTATTAAAATTACATAATTTGCATATAAACTTTAATTCTGCCTCTGGAGTACTGGAGGGCGCAAACTTCCAACAAACCAAGAAAAGACATGAAAGGCCAGACAGAGGGTCTACCCTCTTAAAACGGGAAAAATTTTCTTTTTTGTAAGTGTCTCATGCTTTGGAGGGGTGAGAAAGTAAGGAGAAGACCAAAAAAAAAAAAAAGACCACTTCTGTTTTCCCTTGAATTTACAGCAGTTACATTAGTCACAGCAGTAACTAAGAAATAACTGTGTAGCTATTTAGTACACAGGGGCAGTTGCAGGGCTCTTTTTTCAGGACATGGTGCCCAAAGTGAGCTTCAAGACCACTGCCTGAGTGCCATGCTGATGTACACCACACTCCAGTCATTCTCTAATCCCTGTGCTGAAGATTGGGAAAGTCAGTGCCAAACACAGCTTTAACATCATTTAACCCAAACTGGGGGTTTCTTCAGATTAGGGAGGCTGCAAGTGTTTATTTTCTTATCATCCAAGTAGTGCAAAACCTATCAAGACAAAGAAGGCCGTAGAGGGAGTCCAAACTTTTCTCATCAATATGTTCCCTTTCAAAAACAGAATATTTCCCTTGTAATAATAGAAAGCAGCATCACCCATTACCCAATTACATTATCAAATCAGTTAGGTGCTTTTATTTTTTTTTTTGAGGGGGAAAATCAATTAGCATCTCATCTATATCTAAAAAGACCCAGTTATTTGATATCAGCAATGAAAAAAAATTATGCAAAAAACCACTTTCTAATTAGTAACCACAGTCAAATTTCCAAACAACACCATACTCTAAATATGCCCTCTCTAAACTCAATGCCTTTGTATGAAGTCACTCTGCAGCAAGAAATTCCTAACATTAAAGCACTTTGGAATGTGCTCTTTAATAGTTGTTTGGTAGTAATCACACTAAAGAAACAAAAAATTATTTGGAGAGAGAAATATCTGCCTCCTTTTCCAAAGCACACCTTTTCTTCTAGTTTGTGTTAGTACCAGTCAACTAGAAAAAATAGTAAAACAAAAAATCTTTGAAATGCTATAATCAATTAAAAATTACTTTGAAGTCTGTTACTTTATAGTAACTTTGTGTAACAGAGATAAAGCTGCTTTTCAATATTAAAAAGAAAAACAAGAAGACAACATGTGAAAACCAAAATAGCCTCCATGACAAGTTACTGTGCCCACTCAAATGTTAAGACTTACCAAATATCACACAAACTTACATACCACATTTCCCTTATAACCTTTCTCTCCTCAGATTCCATCCTGACTACCATCTTCTAGATACTCATACCTTCACTGTATGTCAACTTGAATTCCACAGTCCTGATTTTCCCACTGTGAAGAGGAACTCTTACATAAACTCAGTGCTAAACTCAACCATCCATTTAAATGCCAGATAATAAATTGTTTTGCTGCTTCCTGTGGCCTTTTATTTCCTCCCTTTTGATTAGAACATTTTATTAAGCTAATTAAGACTGTGAAGCTTAGGTGAAAGATTTTTCAGAAGTGCACATTTCTGCTAATACTTCAACAAGAGAAAAATATGATGACACAAACACAGCACACTGAGAAGTAATCTGAAAAAGTAACAAAAAATAATGTAAAATACTTTGCCCTTACTTCAGATCCTGAACTTTAACCACATCTGACTCCATATATATAGAAAGCAGATTGACAGCTGTCACACAATTTTACCTTGTTATTATCATTGTCATCTATAATATACCTGTGTGCTCAGGGCCAACCAGGCTATCCTAAATCCTGAGCTCTATTAAAGAAGAAAAGAGAAGCCAAACTGGGTTTCTATCCAAGTTCAGTACCTTTAAATTATTAAATTAGCCCTTAAAATGGGTAATCAAGTAAATGGCTGAAACAGTAAAAACCAAGCCATAAACTAAAGCAACCCTCAGGCTCTGAGAAAGAGCTGCAATATCTCAGCTGCCTGAGAGAAAGAATTTACCCTAATGATTTCTTCACTTCACCTGTTTGCTGAATGTAAAGCTCATTATCCAGGATTCTGCTTATCTGCTCCAGCCAATCTTAAGGCTAAATTACACAGCTGTTGTGGGCCAAAGCAGACCTTATTCGGTGGTCTCTACTTGATCAGATGATGAGTAAGTTAACCAACCTGAGAGAAGTAATTTATACTAAATAAAGCTACTGTATGCATTTTAAAAGTTCACTTCTGAATTTCTCTTCCCTTTCCTGAACTCTGGTCTAGTAATTTTAAGTGAACAAATCCTTAAAGACATCAATGAAAATATAAAATATTAGTCAATCTTTTGAAATAGGGATAAAGTGTTTGTTATGAAGATAAGTTCATCTTCAATCTAATTCATATACCTTAAGTTTGAAGAATTCTGAGCCTAAAAAAACTTAGCTCTACAGACATCAATCTGTGAATAATGATGCAAACCCATCCAAGCTAATTAATAATTTTATACTCCATGCAGCAATGAGACTAGAAAGGAGTTGCATTACATATACTTTACCAAATTCTATGTTAGAGAGTCCTCAAGTGTATCACATTAGATAAAACTTTGGCACTACTTAGATTTTAATTCTACTTAAGTAGAATTTTAGTGTAAGTTGGAAAGTGAATGAGTAACCTTACCTAAGCACATTTGACTGCTACATGTAAACGTGTCATACACTTCCTATTATGTAAAGCACAGAAATTCTTCACTCCAAGTTTTTATTATAGTCTGTGGCTCATAAATGCATTTTGACACTTTTCATCTCCGTAATATTTAGCATTCCTCTTGTACTAATTATTTGTGATAAAAACAGCTAATGCATTTCCCTTTTAGCTCATCTTTTTCCACAATACCTATATTTTAGCAGTGGTTTGATGAACAAAAGATATTTCTGTTCTTATTAATCCCTGTCTTTCCTTACGAGTAATCTCATTTATATTTCTTTGTAAGATTACAGTCACCCTTAACATGAACAGGATTTAGTGGCATACAACACAGAAAAAGAGATTACTTCATACTGCTGCACAATTACTTAAAAATATATTTACATGTCAGCAAAACTGCTTTTTTTAATAAAAAGAGAAAAGTTGATTTAATCTATTAGGAGGACATCCTATGGCTTGTTGGAAACTTTTATATTCTGCATGGTTTACACCTGGTTTTGCTATGTATGGAGAATTTATATTGCTGTATTCTCCCTTCCCCTTGTTTAAATTACTTTATATCTCACTCTTAAAAGAAGTAGGCATTTCTTTCAAAAAGGCTATTGAAACACAATAAAGACATTCATCACCTATTTCTGTTGAAAAAAAAATCATGCTAATGCTTGAATATGCAAGTTTAGTTTTGGAAAATACTACAGCAAGTACACTTTGATAAATATTAAAAAAAAAAAGAAACTGGGAGAACTATCCACTACTGAAGGGCAGTTTTTATACTGCTGTGTTGGTTTCCAGGTCTTAAGATTAGAAACTGCACTTGGAGTTGTGCTCTCTGCTCTAGAAGTACCAAACACCATTGCAGTGTTTTCCCTAATTTGCTTTTTTTTAGCAATTTGGAAGGCAATTTTGTTATTTGATAAGATGTCAATCACTAAATTCACCTAAACAGACATACAGACACCCTTCCCAAACACACAAACACACACATACACATATTGATTTTACAAAAGTCTCATTTTCCTTAAGTAAGTAATCACAACACTGAAAATATTCTCCTGTGTGTTCACTGATTTTCTTAAATGATTTGTCACCACTCTGCCACTCAAGGGAGATGGTTATTTCACTCTTCTGAGAAGCTAACTATGTTCAAAAGCAGCTAGATGAGGATGGTGATGTGATATAAATTCCAAAAGAAAAATGCATTGTCCATCCATATAGCCGTCCATCCTGAGAAACTTCCACTGCCAAATTCTTGCTATTTTCCACTGGTCATGGCGTTCCCATCAATAAATAGAAGGTCAGTGCAACAATGAGGAGCAAGCAGAATGGAGAAGAGAAGGTCTGATAGGCAGCCGAAGGCATGAAAATATCTTCGTACTTGTAAATACTGACAACACGCTCTGACACGGGTGGAGAGTCGATATCATGACGAGTTATAGAACCTTTAGCAGGTAAGGGCAAAGAGAAATAACATCAGATGCAATTTTTTCTATAACTCTGCTGAAGAAACAGGCAGGCAGGTAATTTTCAAACCTATGGAAGCATGCAATATTACACTGTCAGGGAGTTGGCTAATTTCTTTGCTTTCTGAAACTAAATTTCTGAATAAAACAAATAAAATTCAAGTAAACAACACACACTCTTCAAATGAATTAAGAACTTCTAGTTATGAAGTTCTTCTAAATTCAGCTTTAAGAAGTGGGGATAGTAGATACACAGCCAGGAAAACAAGACACGTCCTGTCTTTCTCTTTCTAAGCCTCATGCTGCCAGAATTTTAGTTCATTAAAAAAAAAAAAAAGGGGGGGGGGGGGGGGAGAGGGTGTGTCTAGTAAGAATCACATAATTGAAAGACATTTATCAATTTTGGCACATCAGCTCTGTTGGTGAGATCAACTTACCCTGGATTGCTGGGCCCCAAGCAAACAGGTAGTACCAACTCAAGTGCAAATCTACGATGGTTTCTTCTCGGGGAACATAGACAGGACGCTTGAATCGACACGTGACACGATTGTTTTCAAAAACCCCTTCCTCATCTCTAGCAGGATTTCTCTGGATTTCTTTAGCCCACTGACCAACATTATAGAAGTGCTGTATTCGGACTCTTCCGTTATCATCATGAACACAAGCCATAACATCATCTCCCCCCTACAAGGTTAAAAAAAAATTCGAAGATGGAAAACAAAAGGGTCATAAAACACTTCCTCATTTATGTACATAATTTTAATTATTCAAAGCTAATCAAGACCTGGCATGCCCTTTCCTTCTTTCCAAGTTATATATACAGAAATATTTGTATCCCTAATCAGGTATCTTCAGTAAGATCGAAAAGCGTGTTAAGTGGGCAGCAATAGTTACATACCCTTACTATCTCTGAATTCTCTTCTGGATCTTTCCAAGAGTTATTTTACTTAGCGTATATTTGTAGGATATGATATCACTCTGACATCACGTAATTAATTGATCTCTGGCAGGCTGTTTTCTTTTGTTATTTGTGAAGTTCTGGCATACTGCTTCATAAAATGTTGCAATCTTGAATCCCTGATGTGTACAAAATCCACTGCATCAAATCATGGACAGAAAACCAATGAGACAGAGGAAACAAACCTACTACATCTGAGAAAATAATAGCATCGATTACAGCAAGTCTTTTCTAATCTCTTCTCATGTCCACTTAGGGAACATAATTTCTCGTATCTCTTATTTCTTATAAGAAACGTAGTAATAACAGAATGCAGTATACCAGAAGATACAAAGAAAAAAGTAATCAATGTGTGCTTCTCCACTTAGCATAAGCAGCCAGCAAAGAACCAAGAGACAGAAGGAAGAAGGAGCCACTTATTTCTAAAGGTCAATCATTGAAATACTAAAGCATTACTGGAATAGTTACTCAAGGTGACTGACAGAGTGGTAGAGCACAGGAATAAGCATGAACTTCAGGAGTACTATCCCACAGAAGCCTTAGCACCAAGAGCCATTGGAACACTATCCAAGCTGGATGAGTGCCACAGTGATCAGTGCTGTTTTAAACACAGGCCCTACTCCTCCGATATCCTTCTGATATGTCATACTGATGAAAGACATGATGCTTGCTAGCATGATCATCCCTTAGTTCTTTCTTACAGGGAAAAGAGAGGAAAAGGGTGTATTGCAGCACTATGGGAATATTGCAATGTGCATTTGTAAAAGATGTGCCAGAAGCGGGTGGAAGGAGGGGACAACTAGGCTTGGACAGTTTCTGCACCTTGGTGCTGCTGCAGACCTTTCCAGCCTCTGTCTTGAGACTATCACTGCTCTCCATAACTTATTTCTCAAGATTAACTTTTATGCATCTAAGCACAAATCACTCATTCTTAAGTACAAAGAGGCAAAAATAAAGGTGTTTTTACACTGAAGAAAGAAAACTAGAAAGGAAAGAAAAAAGCATTTTGAATCTCAGTTAATGGAACAACATTTCAAAATCCTGCCAAGGCACAAAAGCCTGTAAGTGGAAAAGCATAACGTTATTTGAGACAAAGAAATAGGTCATAGGACTTTAAAAAAATCTATTGAGGACACAAAATAGTTTTTCTCTCTTAACTTCTGAAGCTATCCAGGCCACACCATTTTGATTAGGGCCTCCAAAGCACAGCCCATTTCTCAGAGCTAAGCTGTTTTGACCCAGAGCTTTTTTTCATCAAAGCCTGTGCATCCCAGGACACCAAAACATCCTGGAAGTCATGAAAAAGATGAAGTCAGCAGGAGAGCCAGAGAGGAAGAGAGATGCTAGCTGGTTTAGTTCAGCTGACTTATGGGCTTATCATGCTCCACATGATACGGTGGAGCAAATTTGGAAACAAAACCTTTTCTTTACCCTTCCTTTATTCTTTTTAGCAGAAGCTCAGACTTAACCTGCTGCTTGCTGTGCCTGCTTTCCAAGTGGCTGATGAGAGGAGGGCAGGGGGACCCTGGGGTCCACTGCAGGTACCTCAAAGGTACAAACTGGTAACACAATCTCATAGTTTGGGGACAAATACTTAGAGGTGCTGAGCTGCTTTGAAAACCCTGTTGAGTACCTGCATTGGCAAGCCTCTAAACTCTTCCCAAAATTTGTCTGTAAAGCTGTTCTTTACATCAAAACCACAAATTGTTTCTTGTGACATGAACTGTTCTTTATGACACAAAAACCTTCTATCGTCTTGTGTTTATTTACAGTGTCATATTAAAACATATGTAGTAATGACTGAGAAGCACTTGTCCTCACATTTTCTTTCTATTTCTCATTTTGGGTCAAATGATGCCTTAAGTTTTAGCTTTCATATTTTTCAGATTCTGTACTGCATTAGTATATACCTCTGAACTTCATATAAAGTATTAGCAATTTCTCTTCACAGTTTAGTTGGACAAAACAATCCTTTTCCAATCTGAGAACCAAGGACATTGCTGTAGCTTCAGGTCCAAAAAGTGCAAACAAGAGTGAATTGAGGAGAGCAATCTGGGAGGATGGGACTTCATAAAACTGCTGTTAAGTCAATGCAAGTCTTCCAATTAATTTTTTGTGGGTCCTATCCCAGGACATCTAATTCCTGTATTTTTTCAGACTGCTACTTTCAAAACCACAAGAAACAGTCCTTTCTTTGACTTGTGATTTAGGACATAGGTCCAGTATTGTTCTATATACTCAGGAGAGTTTCTGTACATGAACACTGATATTATAAGCTGCATTTTAATCCTAAACATTTTACCAAGGATCACAGACAAAACATCTTTGCACAAGTCATCCATTGCTCACATTTTTTAAAGTCCACATATTACATGCTTCTGTTTTGCTCATTGAAATTCAATGAAAAGTGGAGCTTTTGAATTAAAAAGTAAGTACAGGAATAAGCATAAAACAGAACCCAATAACAATCCAGAGGAGAGAGAAGAAATTTTAAGAAGACTGCCTTCTTGAGTATAAATGCTTAAATTAGCAGGAGTCATTTTCTCACACATTTGTGGCTTCTCTGGAACAACACATGGGTACAAAAGAAACCAAAAAATTTCCCAAGTTAAACAAAAGTGAAATAAAAATTTATACTGCTGAAAGTCAGCTGATTTTCTCAAGAATAAAATCATTTGCTATTCAGTTTATGATGTGTCTTTTGCCCAAATTACACTGACATAAAGCGCAACAGGACATTTCCATGTGAATTGACTTATCCCTGAGGGCTTTTCTAATGAAAAGGCAAAAAGCTAGTGACATTCAAACATTCAGAGCTGAACTGAAATACTGTTGTAGTTCTCAGAGAAGAAGGGAAAGGAGATGTTAGGAAGGATGAAACAGTTTTCTGTGAGGCAGTACTCCCAGGGGGGCTACTGAATGGTGCTTTGTTTTCAGCAAGCCAGTTTTACCTTACATGCTCTGTTTCTCAAATATAGAAATGTATGTAAACCATTTATATCCTAGCACCTGAAAGTGTGTGTATTGCCAACATGAAAAACTGTACATATCTTACCATTTTCTTGTCTGAGGAAAATCCCACTGCCACCCAGCCATCTGTGTCAGCACTCAGCTCAAATTCAACATCAGCTCCAATTCTGCGGTAACTTAGGAAGTAGTCACAAGTCTCCGCATTGCATCCAGGTTTACCATACCTAAATGGAATGGGAAATATGCATAACATTTTCCTTGAAATTTCCTGCTATGGCACTTAATTAAGGTTTTGCAAGAAAAAGCTAAAAGAATGTGCCTTGATATAATGGCAGTAAAGCATATATTCTGCTGGACATTAACTAGCATTGATTTTTTGCAAGTATTACTCTTTCAGTGTATAGTATTCAAACAGTACAGCAAACAATAACACAAAATATTACTGTTGACCTTCCTTGATTTGTTTTTTTGGGGTTTTTTTTGTTTTTTTTTTAGTGCTTCATGAAAATACAAGAAAAAACTGTAGGATCATAACTATGACGTGTATTCTTAAATAAACTAATGTCCTCAAATAATATAGCATGGTCTTAAATAACAAACATTTACTAAAATTACTATGAAACACTAACCGGAGTCTCCAATATCACCAGTCAGCACCTGTAAACATAAAGGTATCTGCACTCTTATCTCAGACTGACCTGAAGCATCCCTTGGTTTTTCCACAGTCATCCACTCTGATTTTTGCAAATGGGTCCACAGGAGGAGCAGTAGGGAAAGGGTAACCTGTATAATCAGAATAAACGATTACTAAACAAAATAAAGGACTAAAACTCAATAATACTAAAGAGAAGGTCTTCCAATAGCATTTACTTTGCTGATAACTGAACTGTTCAGATGAGTGACTACTTTGCCACATACAAAACCCACTGCTCAGATGGTCCTGGATCCAGGTAACAAAGTAACATGAATAACTGAAAACAAAACTTTTCTAAGGTTTCCTACATTCATCAAGGAGGGAGAAGAATGCTGGAGGGCAAAAGTTAAATGCAAGGCAGCAGGATCATGGACTATTGCAGTGCACTCTCTCCTTGTGCACTCACAGTCCCCTCGGGAAATCCATAAGGGAATTGACTCTTTAGCCATAAATGACAGCATTAGGTATAAATGCAGGCAGGGCACCAGATGCAGAGCTGTAGGAATTGATACTGAAAAGACCTTATAATACATCCTCCTTTATGAAGTAAAATAAAGCATTTACACATTGCAGTAAAAGGTAAGAGAGTATCAGGGCAGGGAATTGCATGCAGTTATGGCCTGCAATCACTTGTGAAGGCAGACCCAGAAGAGTCAGACAGTGAGAGTTATGATTCCAGGTGATCCTGTCTGCTGGACTACAGTACCAAAGAAAAAGTGAGAAAGTTTACTAGCAGACCTATTCAGTCTTGGCTTGTCAGTGCTGGTATCTGTTCCATAAGCACAGATATTTTAATAGGATGTTCTTTTACTTAGCCAGATAAAAACCAAAGTGCTAGCTGTGGAACTAGAAAGTAATCTGAAAATGCTTCGTTGAGTAGGAAAAGTAATTGAAAGACATTTATCAAGAAAAGTGTTTCATTGAGTAGGAAACGAACACTTCAGTTAGTGCACCAGCACACAAACTTTTGACCTACACAACTTTGGGCATTCGGGAGCCCCGATTTACTTCCCTAGATTTCTAACAGTGCTAATGGAGAAAGTATGCTGTAAGCTGCACATCACAGTCACTAACTGTACCAAGGGCAGGTAAATTACCCGGCATAAATAAGTTTGCAGAATTTCACAGCAGCGTGTAGCGGCGCATTACTAAAACACAGGCCACAGGACATGGAATTTTCTCACTCCTTACTTATTTTCAAATCCATTAAACAAATGGTTTTCCATGCAGCCTAGCTGCAAAAGTGGTGATTTAACATTCCACCATTTGCAAATTCAAAAAAAAAACAACCCACACCAAAACCCACGACCACGCTGCTTCTTGACACTTTAGAGCATCACACGTCCTTTCGAAGCACACACACCCCAGGACTCCTTTTTACGCTACCAGCCCGGAAAGCTTTGCAAGAGGGGAAGGCGAGGGGCCGCCGGCTGGCCCCGCTCTGCGGGAAGGCGACGGCCCCCGGCCCGAGCTCCCGCCCGGGGGGATGCCCGTGCCCGGGGATGCCATGCCCGGGGATGTCGTGCCCGGGGATGCCCGTGCAGCGAGGCGGCGGCTCTGCGGAGAGCGGGGCAGGGCGCGCTGCGGGCCCGGCCCCGAGCGGCAGCGCTGGCTGAGGCGCCGGGCCGGCGGAAGATGGCGGCGGGCGCTGGCCTTCGTGCTGAACGGCGCTGTCACAGCCTCCCGCCCTTCGCCCCCGCGCCCGCCCGGCCCGGCCCGGCGCTCCCTCCCGCGGCTCCGCGGGGGAGCGGGGGCGGCGGCCGGGGGGATCCAGCCCCGGGGACGGGCGGTGCCGGAGGGACCGGCCCGGTGGGCGAAGAGACGGCCTGGGAGGGTGTTGGGGGGAAAAGGTGTCGGGGCGGCGTGTGCGCGGGGATGCGCGGGGGAGCGGCGGGAGCGGGATGCGCCGGGACAGGGATGCGCCGGGACAGGGATGCGCCGGGAGCGGGATGCGCGGGCGGTCACAGGCACAGCCCCGGCTGCACCGAGCCCTCCCGCAGGGACCGCCGCTGACGGGTTGCGCGGTGGCCTTCCCTGGATCACTGATTTCCCGCATCCCACAGCGTGCCCCACCCAGCAGAAACCCCGCCGCGGGGACGGCTCCCACAGCCCGGGCACTGCCGTCGAGGGGCAGTACCTAGCCATGCCTGGCTGCCCCCGTGGCCTCGATTCACTAAAGCCTCTTGGCATGTGCTTCAAGAGGACGTGATAAATCCTGCTCAGTAACTGCCGGGCAAACTTAGCTGTTTGCATATATTTTTTAAAAATTTATTTTATTATTACTGTTCTTTTTAATGACTTCTGGGATGGGACTGGAGACACAGCGCGACTTAACATTGTTTTCAGGTAAAACCCCATGGCAGTGAGCGTTTGCTATCTGATTGCATGTTCTTGCTTTGTATTTTATTCTATGTAACTGCAGAAATACCAATATACTCCAAACCTGGCAGGACTGAAGGAAATCCCAGGTTGCCCCCAAAGTTGTCTTGGGCTCTGGTATCTGATGCTGAGCTTGCAACTAGGCATTAAGCATACAACTGCATTCTTGCTGTGCTCTGGTATCCAGTTGATGGAGGAACCATGGCCTTTCATCCCTTGCATTACTTTGGCTTGTATTTCTGTCTTTTGGTTATAACTATAGTTTCATTTTTATATCATTACGCTCGGTCACACTTCCTCCTCTGAGAGTCTGGAATAAAATTCGAGAAAACATCAGCGGGGAGGGAGGGAACACACAGCAGTCAGTAATATTCTGGAAATTAAAATAACCCTCCATTTAAATATTTTCTTTCTTTAGTATCAATGACTGTACTGAGTTACTTTTTTTGTGGGGCAGTGAGACTGCCCAAGACCTAGGCTGCATTAGGCTTGAGGGATAAGCTCATTCCCGTGGGCTGAGCGGTGGCTTGTCATACTGGAGTGTGCTCACTGCATCAAGTGGAGGGTGTTAATTCACATCTCCATGGTTTAGTCTGGTGGAGCAGCATGCTATTTCTCACTGCAAATAGAGGAATAGCCACGCGGAGGAAAAAAAAATAAGTTGCAAAAATAATACCAGTTGCATGCAAATTCAACATGTTCCACAGTAGCATATGGAAAAAGCTATAGGAAAGCAACAGCAAGCTCAACTGCGAAATATTGAGTCCCTTCTTCCTGCCTCACTGAGCTTGGCAAACTTTAGCAGGCTGGTGGAAAACAAGCAAACAAATGGCAATAGAAAAGCCTTTATAAATCAGGCTAACAGGAAAGTAAGGCTGCAGCTTATTCTTCCTGGCAATAATTAACTCTGATGAAGGCCCCCCATCTCCCTTTTTGAAATAGCTAGCCGAGGGTTGTGGTGCCTGCAAGAAGCATTTGCTCAGCAAGGGAGCAGCTGTCAGCTGCATGCTGGTTTCTCCTCCCTGGGAACAGGCTTTAGCACACTGTGATATGGGCAATGCTTCACAGTTATTGTAAACACTTAGGATATTTGTCATATATTGTTTGTGCCTACATGACACCTATCATTTTAAATCTGGCAGCTGAAATATCTGTCTGTGATTACAGTGGAGCTGCACTGATTTTCTAAAGTGAATATATGGCTAGGAGACTGACCTTCCTCCTAGTAAATCCTTAAAAACTGAAACTAAAATACTCCTGATTTTTTTGGTTGCTTAGTAGAACCTCTTGTGGTTGTCTGAAGGTTGTCTCTACTCAAAAATCAATTGCTCATGGAAAGCAACATCACATTGAGACAGGTGGAGCTCTAATGAATACCTTCAGTTTTCACCAGACAGAAAGGTCTACACTGCAACTCACAGCACTGCCAGCAGTACTGCAGGAAAGGTCCTTATCTGATTAAGTAATTGAGGTTGTCATTAAAAAAAAAGTATTAGTAGTAAGAGCCCAAACTGCAATTGCATGAGCAGCCTTAACCCTCAAATGCCTGATCTCTCTGAATGTCATATTTGTCAGCTTGCACGTGCTTGTAATGCCTTTCTCAGAGGAGAAAAACAAGCAGTGTGAGAACCACAGATTAGAAGTCCTCTGGCAGCAGGAGTCCTCTTGCTTTGCTGAATTAGAGATGTGAGCATTTCCACCACTTCTTGCACCATTGTCTCCTGCCTCAGGGGTATCTAGCAGTCAAATTCTTTGGATGGTTAATTGCTCTAGCTTGGGCAATTCTGTGGCGCTAACACTCAGTCTGTGGGTGTCTTCCCAGGACTGATTTATCCCCAGCTTACCCTTGAGACCAACTGTGCCTTCTTTTTTGGCTATTTTTGTCATTCACAGTACACCTTTCCCCTGGAGGCTCATGCTTTTTGGGGCCTTTGGACTAGAAATTAAAGTTTCAGGTATAAGTAGTAGTTTGTATAACAGACATTCAGAAAAAAAAATCTTAGTTCTCCCGGTCATTTCCATCCAATCAACATGTACTGAAAAATCAGTATGTATCCATCAGTGCTGACTGAGCAAACAACTCCTGAGACAGCAGTTTTCTTACAATAAATCTGTAGTAACCTGAACCAGAGTTTGTAATTCATATGCAGTTTTCTCAAACTCTTACAACACTCTTGTTCAATGTGGGGAATGTATCTACTCTACAAGTCATTTATCTTGGGCTTTCCTTTATTAAACAATAATAAATTGAGAAATTGTTGAATCATAAGTTTTCATTAGGAGTCATTTATCCTGTGCTCTAGCTAATCACTCTACAGAAGCATGCTTGTGGTGTTAGTTACTCAGACTAAGACATGGGAGAAAAAATGGTAGGAATTTCTTGCAAGCAGAGCTTTTTCACAGCATACAAAACAGAATGATGATGGGAAATATGTCAAATGCCAATAGATGAAGTACATCTCCTATGAGAAAAGTGAAAACTAAGTGACTGCCTTAGAAAAACCAAAGCATTACAAAGGAAACAGATGTGTGCTGTTTATGAAAGCAGCTCACGAAAGAGATGAGTGAGCCTTTTGGAGGCATGGTATTGCTTCAGATCTTCTGGAGAAAGGCAAGAAAATATAAACTCTAAATATGCTATCATCCAAATAAAAACTGCATTAGATCCTTAGATCATCATTTGCTCAACACTGGTGAATTCTTCATTTTCTGCTGTCACTGAGTTATGTATCTGGTCTTGCTTCAAGAGTGATTGTGCCATTACTGCCCACAACAGCACTCTTTCTGTAAAGTTAATCTAATGTAGAAAAAAACAATGTCTCCAGGCTCTTTTCCACAAGCATAACATACACCAATCTAAAGACTAAGTTCAGAACTAAATCATCATGAATTTTGCTTCAGTAAGCACTACAGACCCTTCCCAAGGTATATTAAAACTGCAGCTTTGTTTGGTTGTTTGGGTGTTTATGTGTGTGTGTGTTGGTTTGCATCAGGTAGTTTATAACTTTTCTCCCAAGACTGCATTTTTTTACCTTCTGGCACTCTTTTCTACCCCAGCTGGAATGCAGTTCTGGGAGGTGTATCTACCCTGAAAGCCAAATCTACCAGATGGTGGCACAATCTGCACCAGGAGGTTGTAGAGCAAAATGTTTTGCTTTTTTTTAACAAGTCCTCATTACAAAGAGGTTATTTATAGTGTTGTTCTAATAAGGAGCAGAAACAGAGCAGCCTTTTATTAGAACTTGCAATAAAGGCCATTACACTGAGGGCTCCCTGTGCATAAATACCACTTACTTACTGTGAAAAAGTTGGCCTGGAGTGCAGAAAAATTCAGCTTCTATTAGCAAAGAGTTCATTTAGGTAGGAAGGTTTTAAAGAGTTTAAGCAGCATTAATTCAATTAATTCCACATGTGACAATGTCATTTTATCCTAATTATTTAAGAATTCAGAAATGAGGGGGAAAAAAAAGAGAGAGAAACTCTGTTCCCTCATGAGAATTCATCTGAAAAGTAACAATAAAAGTCCTGTAAGTTTCCCTGTTGGAAAATAACCGTTTAAAACAGCCTTTCCCCAGTCCAAATACAGATATCTCTGAGTCAAAAAAAAACAAACCAAAAAACCCCGCCCACACACACAAGGAAAAAAAAAAAAAAAAAACCAAAAAAAACCCCTCTTATCTTCTAGGTGAAAATAAGTGGGTGAGAGAAGGCAGCAGAAGAGCTGCTTTTGGCTCACTCCCCTGCAGTGAAGGTGCTTTCTATATGTCCTGACTGAGGCATCTGCAGGCAGGGCATCTGAGGCACGTAGGTCTTGGCCCCTCGAGAAAAAAAACAACATAAAAAACCCTCTTATCTTCTAGATGAAAATAAGTGGGTGGGAGAAAGCAGCAGAGGAGCTCCTTTTGGAGCTCCTCTTCAGTGAAAGTGCTTTCTGTATGTCCTGACTGAGGCATCTGCAGGCAGGGGATCTGAGGCACGTAGGTCTTGGCCCCTCCTGGGTACAGGCTGCTGGAGGGTATGCTTTGTTTCAAACAACCCATTAATAAATTCCGGCTTTAGGGCAGTTTTCTCTGTCTATTGGAGTCGTTGGAGTGCGGGTGAAGAGCAGCCCGCAGGATCCGAGAACGTGCTCCGAGTTTGGCTTAGGGATGGAGCATCCCGGTCACCCGCTGCTGCTCCTGGTGCTGCTGGCCCCCTGCCCAAATACACCCAGCGCTCTCTACACTAAATTTTGGGCTTGTGCTGCAGGACAGGTGCTTTCTCTCTCCCCCCAGCAAAGGCAATAACGCCTTGCGTTACAGCCGCAAGTGCAGCTTCGGGACGTTTTTGGGGAAAGCTGGGAAAAGGGCAGAGGAGAGAGAAGAAATCGAGGAGACAGACGAGAGTGTCCGTAGGAGACAGCCGATTCAGGCTGGGGACGTATCCTGATGGCCTGCAGAGGTGGTGCCCACCGCCTGCCCGCCGTGCCGGAGCATCTCCCCGAGCCGCGCTCCCGAGCTCCCGGAGAGAGCCGGGGCTGGCCATGGCACCTGCCCGCCGCAGAGAGGCACCATGGCACCGAGACACGGCGAGGTGCCCGGAAAACATACGGGAAACTGGGCTTTTCCCTCTGCCAGCAGGAGAGGGACGGAGGGGACGCTGCCCGGGAAGCCCCTTAGAGCCAGTGCGGGGAGCTCG